AGTTTCACTAACCACGTTTGATTACAGTGTGTTTTGGTATCTGAGTTGTGTCTTTCAAAGTGTGAGCCCAGAACCCTGAGGATTCCTGAGACCCTTTCAGGGGATCCCCAAGGTCAAAACTACTTTCATAGTAATATTAAGATGTTTTGTTTTCTAACACGGAAAATATCAATAGAAATAACCCACAGAAACAGAAGTTCTTTGGGAGAGGGGATATTCAATAATTTTTAAGAGCATAAAGGGTCCTGAAATCGAAAAGTTTGAGGACCATAGGATTACAGTTTTACCAGCAGTGGTTCAGGAATCAAATCCAACCCATTTTTTCAGTTCTGAGGCACCTAGGTGTCACAGGGAAGATAGAGTACTGGGTTTGGATTCATATTCTGCCTCTGATAACCTAATTGCTGAATGACCCTGGACACATTACTTAATCTCTGTCTTAGCTTCCCCAACTGTAAAATGGAAATAATAATTGCACCCACTTTCCAGGGTTGTTGTGAAGATCAAATGAGATATTAATTGTAAAGCGCTTAGGACAATGCCTGGCACACAGCAAATGCCTGACAATTTTTTTTTTTTTAAGACCCTGGTTCGTAATTTGTCTGAGCCTGGTTACCTAAACTCATTTAGAGATGCCAGGTGTTCACTTACTATCTTCTTCCTTATCTTGGGTTTCAATTCCCTCTTAACCGTTTTTTGTTTACTGTTGTCAACCATTTTCCTTGGTATAGAAAAAAAATAGAAATTGGTGATTTCCGTTCTCCCTGCTGTCTGTTAGCATCTCCTCTCTCGTTTTTTTTTTTTTTATCCTTAGAATAGCTAAGTATATACTTTTTGTTGTTCTTGGCATTTTTTTTCTTAAACCTCAGCTGATTCTAAGTTTTAGCCCTCTGACATTGGATAATGCTAGTTTGTATTCATCCTTAATTACCTACTTTGCAGGCACACTTTTAAATTCCTGCCCAGAGTTCATCTCAGAACTTCCAGGACAGTCATATTGACCTTTTTAGAGGTAGCCAAACTTTTTTTCCTACAATAGACGTATGCAAAAAATATTTTGTTGACTAGGCTGACAGCTCTTCATTTTCATTATTGAAGAGCATATCCCTACACAGGTAAACCTCTCAGTCCTCTTAATCAATCGATTAACAAGCCTTTATTAAGTGCCTACCATGTGCCAGGCACTAGGTGTTGGGGAGAAAAAGACAAAAATAAAAGTCCTCTTTCCCTCAAGGCAAGGTTTACAGGCAACAACATGGTTTCTAATATGTAAAAGTAAATATAAGGTAATTTCACAAGAGAAAGCATTAGATGCTAATAGCAACAGGAAAGACCTGGTATGTAATGGTCCTTGAACTGAGCTTTGAAGGAAACTAGAGATTCAAAGAGGCAAATTGGAGAAAGGAATGTATTCTAGAGATGGGGGGATAGCCTGTATAATGGAATGTTACTGGGCTATAAGAAATGACAAGCAGAGTGATTTCAGAAAAACCTGGAAAGGCTTACATGAACTGATGCAAAGTGAAGTGAGCAGAACCAAGAGAACATTGTACACAGTAACAGCAACACTGTACAATGAAGAACTATGAATGACTTGGCTATCCAAGACAGTCCCAAAGGAGTAATGATGAAGCATACTATCTGCCTCCAGAGAAAGAACTGATGTCTGAATACAGACTGAAACAGACTTTTTTTTTCTTTTTCCTCTTTCTTTCTTTCCCTTCCTTCTTCCCTCTTTCTTTTTTTGTTCAAGTTTGCTTGCACAAAGTGACTAATATGGAAATGTTTCACATGATTGTACATGTATAACCCATATCAGATTGCTTACTGTCTAAGGGAGGGAAGGAAGGGAAGGATAGAATTTGGAACTCAAAACTTCAAAAAAATGTTAAAAACTGTTTTCACTTGTAATTGGGGGGCAGGAATAAAATATTATTCAATTAAAAAAAAGTAGCCTCAGCAGATGTGCTTTGTTTCAAATGTCCTGGAGCATCTGACTATGACTCAATTTGCTGATAAGTCAGCATTTCCACTGGAAAGAAAAGCTCACCAAAGAGGATGATTTTTTTTTTTTTTTAATATTAGGACTAGTCATGACTCTCCTAGTTGTCAGCCCTGAATTCAGTGTGGTAACAGAAGAAACAGAAATCCAGAGATGTCCACCTGAGACAGAGACCAACATTTGATTCAGCAACTGCTCACTAAACACCTACTATGGGCACCCTTATTTCATGTCTTCTCCCCCACCCCCCTTGCTCAGGTACAGAGGCTAAGGACAATCAGGGCCAATGGGAAGGAACCACTACAAGAAAGTAGAACAGTAAGGAGGTTGGATATTCCATCTGATACCTAATCAGCATCTGAATAATTGAGAGTTGGCTGTGATACCTCCCCAAGCTTTTGGGTCACATCCCTTCACCCCGCCTACCTGCCTCTGTGGCTAATTTTGTAAGGCATCGGTAGAAAGAAACCATTTTTCTTTTAAAAACTGAACACTGAGAAATGTGTTCCCAATGACATTAAAGTTCCATAGCAACTCTTCCTGTGTATGTAGGCCAAACTTCCTTATAAATCAGCATTGGCTGTTTTTATGTAACAATTTGTCTCCTTTTGTTTACTCATCACTTACTCCAGTCATGGAAAAAGAAAACAAATCTCAGTTTACATTTTTATTGAAATTCAGCATCACAGTAGGAAGAGATCTGGACCTGTCAAGAGATCTGAGTCTGAACCCCAACTCAGTGGCCATGTGAGAATAGGTAAGCCATTGAACCTGGCTGGCCTTCATTTCCTACTTGTAAGAATACATGCCCAGGGGCAGCTAGATGGTGCAGTGAATAAAGCTCTGGCCTTAGAGTCAGGAGAACTCAGATACTTGACACTTACTAGCTATGTGACCCTGGGCAAGTCACTTAACACCGATTGCCTCACCAAAATGCAAAAACAAAAACAAAGGAAAAAACCCTGCTCTGCTGGTGTCATAGGATCTTGTAAGGATGAAGTGAGATAATACATGGGAAAACATGTATTTATAAATTGCATTGTTACTGTGCTATAGTGTGTCCTGAGTAATGTGTCCTTTGCCTTTATCTCTTTTTTTTAAAGACCTTTCTGATGGTTTTGCTAGTACATTCATTATAGCAGAACATGTTGCACAAGTATTCATGTCGGGGGTCTGAAGCTAACTATTACTTATTGCCTCGAAACTTGCCTTTGAGAAGCATGAGCAGGGGGCCCTCATCTTAGTCTGAGCAGCTAAGAGATGATTCCCTTCACCTTTCGAGACTCTGAATGCAGTTCCACACACCACCCCTGGCACTTTGTGACCCCAGCAGGATTCCATAGGTATAGGGAGGATTCTTAACAACATTGGGTTTCACCAGGCCTGTTGAGAAGCTCATGAACACGGGGGACAGCATTAGAAACATCCTATGAGGTAAGGATGCCGGGACAAAAGCCCTTGTGCCTGGGAACTCAATTTGACCTTTCGTAGGGTGAGACTTAAAAGATGACAGTGAGGAAATCTCCCAGGGACACTCAAACAAGACAGGGCATTGACTCTCTTGTGTAAGTTCACCTATTGTAGAAATGCTTAAGTCTAGCATACATCAGACTTTGCTACTGTAAGTGGTCATCCTTGAGCCATAGTGGAGACTTTCTGCTTACCTTACTTTGCTTTATTGTAAATATACCTTAAAAATGCACTCTGGTACTCTAGTGTGTGTTAGACAATGGATGGAAGAAAGGAAGTCGGTGCTAAGATTGGGCAAAGACCCCTTGGACTCACTGATAAGAGTAAATAGCTCTTACTTAGCTAGGCCTATGGCCCTGGGTCATACTCTTCAGTATCTACTCATCTATGTTCTTGTGTAGAGTGTAGAGCTTGGGATGTCAAATCTTCCCCTCACTGTACATATGGGTGGACTGGTAATAGTCTTGGGAAGGAGGAGCCATGGCCGACCAACCTACCTTAGGGTAATTTATAATTTAATTCAGGCCTACTTAAAACTTTTTCCATTCGTGACCCTTTCAGCGCTTCGGCGACCCACGTGGGGTCATGATCTCCCGTTTAAGAAGCACTGAATGACACCAGTATCCTCCAAGAACTACATTCTACTGGGAATTCTATCCTGAAGAATTCTATCCAGGGGTGGGCAGAGATGCCAGGGCTGAGTCTGAGAAGTAAGAATCTGAAGATCGTGAGTCAGGAATCAGTATGAAGTAGATCCAGAAGTGGAGAAGATGGTTGAAGGAAGAGAGAGCTGGGCTGGAGTGTCCCATCAGGGAGATCACAGATAGGAAAAGTAGGAGCCTAGCTGAAATACCTAGAACAAGGGAGTCAACAGTGAGGTTCAGGATGGCTATTCTGGGGTCCAACTTTTTGTTGGCTACGAGCTGTTCTTATGTACAAGTACCACCTCCATATTCTGCTGCCTTCACAACTGAGCAATTAGAACCAAAACCCAACAATACAGCCCTTGCTCTGGCAGCATCCTTGACTTCCTCCTCCAGAATTCTTCTGCCTCTTCTGTGGTGTCAGGACTCTTCCTCATGCCAGCTGTAGGAACAAGTGCTTTAACCACATGCAAACCTTAGTGTGTAACATGTATCTATAAGGCAAGAATTCACAAAAGATAGATAGATGGATGGATATCTATATTACAGAAACATATAGACAGCTATTTAGATATCTAGATAGATATAGCTATAGATGTGTGTATGCATATGTATGTATATACATATACACACATACATTTTACACATATACATGTACATACATACAGATACGTAGGTATCTATATAGGGACATGCAACTCTTGATTGCCTGAACCTCAGACAGGTTACATAACCTGCCCGTGATGGCATGGCTACTAAGTGTCATTGGCAGAACTTGAACCCGGCCCTCACTACACCCACCAGGCTGCCTCTGAAGTTATCATTATAACGCCAAATCTCAAAGACACACAAATGAGACACCAAAATACAATGGAAATGACCAGTACTGTATTTGTCACAGATATAAATTATTTTCTATCTCTGATACCCATAAATTATACATAGAGTTCAGAATTCAGGTCAGTGCAAAGTGCAGTCAGAAGAAAATCACCACATGGCTACAATGCAAAATATATACAGAAAACAGTCTAGGGACATGAAGACAAAACTCATACTTAAATATAAAAAGAAAAAGTTCACCTTAATTTTCTTTGTACACTGACTACAATTGAGAAACAATAATTCTTACAGATCAGGAACCAACACAGTGGCTTGCCAAGTAACGAACAGAAACTAGTAACACCATTAAATTTTTCTTTTTTAAGATGAAAAACTGCAAGTAAACATATGCAATGAGAATTCTCATACTGGAGGCACATGATGAGGAAATGATATTCCATCACGGAATGGTTTACAGGTACAATTCATCTGTTCACAGAGTTTGGCAGAAGCTGGAAGGAAGATAAGCAAGAAATCAGAATTGGACGGTGCTGACTGACCCACTTGGACCGATTCCTTGGCATCAGCCACGTCATTTCCACTTCAACACTTAAAAAACTCAATGTTAGCACATACTGAGGCTCGGCTTCTCAAACTTGGCTCATCTTGAAGAGGGTTGGGCCAGCCTATTCTTTCCTTTTTAAATTTTGTTTTTGGTTTGTTTTTTTTCCCAGCCCCTTCATTTCTTACCACAACAAAAAAGGGAAAGCATCAGAAGCATTCTCCAAAGCCCACGACTTCATGAACCCAAACTTCTTTTGAGAGTAAGAAAATGGGTGCACTGTTTATTGCCAACAGCTGATGAAATAAAGACTCCAAAGGACTTCAGTTTAGACAGAGAGGTATCTAAGTCCAGCTCCCTCCACAATCGAAGACTGCCTCCGGCTCAAACTCTCGGTCCCACACCACACTTTCAGAAAGGTCACGGGAGGAAGCAGGGGCCAGTTGAGTAACACTGAAAGCCATTGTCTTTACACCTGGGGACCTAATGGCCTGTTATCTGCAGAAACCAGTTTGGTTCAAAATGTAAGCAGAAATATTACATAATCTGTCAGTCATTCATCAATGTTTCCTAAACATCTACTGTACACAGACCACTGGTCCAGATAGATTCTTCACAATAAAGGGATTTTCTGTTCTTTTAAAATAGAGATAAAATTTAAGACAGAAATAGCAACAACCAAAGTCTGGAGTTTACATAATTCTTTCCTTCAGAGATCCTCAAAGGAAATCCCATGTATCATCTTATTTATCTTTATACATTTTAAAAATTAGCCTTCTTTTTCAGGGGTAACTAGACAAAGCAAAAACTACTTTTTAATCCTTTTTATGTGGGAATCCAGGCATATTAGGTTCAGATTAACTTTGGGGAAGGTCAGTCTGAATTGGAGAACAATTCAAATTAGAAAAAATTTTAGAAAAAAATTCAGTCTTACTATTTTGAAGTACATTCAGAAACTCAACTAGGCTCAAAATAAGTAGCCTGCTTCAAAGAATTGATAAGAATTATTGCAATTTGCATGTTAACTATCAGTAAATGTGTGCTTCTAAAGTGCTTGAGAACAATTTGTTCTCTTAAGTAGGTTAAAAGTTGCTTTGCCCCTACTCAAACGTATTTATTTACACTGCTAACTTATTCAGTAAAGCTATATTCATAAGTAAACTTTGGCCCAAGTCTGGTCCTGACTTACAAATTCTGATCTAGAGAGTTCCAAATAAATGGGGTTGACAAGGTTCCAGCAGCTGGAAATGATTCTTTGTAAACTTCAGGGAACCTAAGAGCTGAAGAGGAAGTCTCATCTCTTCTAGGCCCTGGCCCAGACACAGACATTGGTAACACAAAGTTGATGAACATATAAATCTCATGTCTGAAAGCACAAATGCCTTAAAGAAGAGAACCAACCCTTAAGTCACATCTTCCAGGAATATATAAAGAGGGGAATTAATCTTTGGAGTTTTGCACAATGAAATAATGTTACACAAGATTTTCAGAATCAAAAGATCTTTTCAGGCAATCATTTCCAACAATCCTGCACTAGTTGGCCCTAAATAAATATCTCCCAGATTGTTCTCAGCTTGACATTCAACCCATCAGAATCTTGGAAAGGATTGATACAGGAAAGGTCTCAATTAGCCTAAGGATGGGGGAGAGTCCTATAGTTTAACTACGTACGGATGTTCACATCTACAGTCTTTTGTCTTCTAGAAAGACAAAAATCCACTCCTCTAATCCTCAGTCTATCATCAGATGGCTGAAAACTTCAGCACAAATGATCACACAAGAGGGGAAAAAATTTGTTTATCGCTCTTTCTCTCAGGACAGAAAATCCTGCCTCTCAACCCTGGCTTCAGGATGCCTTCTTACCAAAGTGGTGGCAAAAATATAGGCTTGAAAGGCCACTTGGGGCTGCTATCCTTGGCTGGCTACCTGAGCCCATACCCTATGAACTGTTCCCTTAGAAATTGCCCACTTAAAGTAACTAAAATTTAAATGAACATCTTTGATCCACCCCCAACTCCCCCACCCCCAGTATGACAGTAACCACTGCAATCTCCCCATCTCTCTGACCTCTGGAAGTAGGCAATAGGCTTTTCAGTTTTAGTTACTGCAGAAGACAGCCTGCTCTAATGAATGGAAAGAACACAAGATTGAGAGGCAGGAGAGGTAGAATCCCAGCCCTCCCAATTAAGAGTGGACGTGGGTAAATTGCGTCCTCACTCTGGACCTCACTTTCTTCCTTTGTCAAACCAGAACACTGGACTCAAAGTTCTCTGTGCTTCTCTCCAGTTCTGCAATGGTCGGTGTTCTCAAATATTAAAAAATACCAGCATCCCACTTACTAAGGGTAGCTTCAGAGGCATCATTGGACCAAGTTAGATTTTAAAACATCTTAAAAAGAAAAAGGAATACTTTTTGCTATGTGCTTCATTTGTTTTAGCTTTCAGAGCAGATAACCACCTACTTTCATACAAAAATTCAAACACTTAAAAATAGGGTTTGCCTGGCTCAGGCAAGAAAATTCCAAGTGCCTCATCTGCTCTCCCCTGGGAAACAAGGTCTATAAGCCCTATGTCTATATAGCCCTACATTTCTCCATGTCCACTCCCCTAGAGATGACAGTGACTCTAGGTAAGCTCTAACACCTATCAGTGAGATATTACCCACCATGAACCTTCTTGCTGAGAAATCAAGTACCCTGCTGTATCACAATGCTTCTTTAATATAAAAATACTGACCATAAAATATAGAATATGAGATGATAAAAAATGTCTCATATATTTTAAAGCATTTTTAGATCAATTTCTTCTAATGAAATATCTCCACATTTCTAGTACACTGTGTTAGGATCAAAGATTTGGGGTAAGAATGGCCCTAAAAAGCCATTAGATGTTGAAACGGAGGCTCAGGAAGGGGGCCACACAGGTAGTGAGCACTGGCAGTGGGGTGGGATGGGGTGGGGGAAGTGGGATCTGATCCACCTCCAGAGGAAGGGCTCTTTCCACACTACTACGGGATTAACAAAGGACTGGAGGACTTGGCCTAATGCACAGGAAAACTTTGTAATCTCTACCTAAGTTTTGGGTTGGATTTAACATATATAAATTTTTAAAAAAATCCTCATTTTGAAGTAAAACAGGCATTTGCAACTGAAACCTTGGAAATTTACATCAGCAGTCAGACAGCCTTATCTATTTCCTGAAAACATTCATAGCCCTTGAAAAATGGATCCATCCTACATTCTGACAAAATGTAAACTTTCTTGCCTCTTTAGTTAGCTCAGCTGGGTTAGCAGTCAATTTGCCCAGAGGATAACACATTAGGGACATTCATCTAATGAATGAGGCCAGGTCCCCTAGCGATCCAATGTCTTGTGGCCAAAGCACCATTTAAAGAAGACTGAGTATATAGCCAACGGCAGCTGAATAAAAGAGACCCCAGTAGGATGTTTCACCAAAACGGTCCCTGTCACGTTGTGACTACTGGTCCCGACAATAATCCAGAGGTAGGGTGTGAGGTTGAGGGAGGTGGGTCAGGTCTGAAGGGTGGGATCTGAAGCTGAATGCCCAAGAACACCAGGCACATCTGTCAGTACCATTAGGGAAGGAAAGACCTAATCACTCATGCAGACTGTCCAGCTCACTTCGGGTGCCATAGGAAACGGTCTCTGGCATGGAAGGGGTCAAATATTCAGACAGAGGTCACTTGGGGACCACTTGCTCCATTATGTAGACACAGACTAAAAATCTGGTATAAAACTACCAAGACAAAGAAATGATGCCTTTTCATTGTTAACTCAATCTTCCTAGTTGGAGTGCCTCTGAAATCTTCAGAAAATACTTCTAATTTTAGTGCATCATCCAGCCTCTAGAACCCCACACATTTGGCCAGAAATAAGGAAATCCACAGAATGGGTATTTTTTTTTCCCAAAGGGAAATGCCTAATTCTTTATGCTAATTTTCATTCTGAAAGAGTATAGCTTTCTTATAAGATAGATGAAGTCGTATTACCCATTGCCTGTCCCCACATTAGCGAAGTATCATTCTTAGGTCTACATGATCAAATCAGCTACCACACTGGCCAAGATGCTAAAGAAGGACAGGCCAGTAAAAATGGGAGGAAAGTAATGGCAAGAAAACACCCTTCAAGGGACTGGTTGCAGAGGGCAGCCCACGATGGGGGAAGATAAGATATTATAGCAATATCACCTGTCCTGGTTCTCAGTGCAAAGCCCTCTGGTGGGAATAGGAGGCGATTTGTCTAAATGATATTGTCCAAAGGACAGGACAAAAAACTGTGCATCAGCATTCATCCCTCCCTTTACCCTTTATCTTCTCAAAACCTCATCTGTTCTTTTTTCCTTTCCCTCAATTTTTCCAGAGAGTATTTTTTGTCTTTAATATTCATTTTAATTCAGTGGCACTACTGTACATACACTGGGAGTCCTTGGTACCCTTAAATCTATTATTTAAAGATTGGCATATAGTGTCCATTGGAGATGACATCTTCTGTCACCCAATTAGGAATATACGTACATGTCAACCACAGATTCTCACCACAACAAAGTCTAGCACTCGGCAGTAGGGGATATAGTAGGTGTGACTGATTCCATAAATATCTCCACGAAACACTCCAAAGGCAAAGGGAATAAACTGATTATGGTTAGGGCCTTAATCTAACTTGTATTACCAAACTGTGGCTTTGGACAGGATGGGACCAAAGCTGAAACTGGTTGGATAAGGCATCATTAGAGTTTTCTCTAAACATTCACAACAACCAAGAATTTAATGAAAAGCCACCCTGGTGCCAGATGAGTCTGACCTCAGTAATGGAGGTGAATGCCCACGCCTTTTCTGATTCTTGTTTCCTTGGGAGCAGCTGTGTACATGAGAACCCTTTTTAGTCTGGGAAGAGCAACCTAAGGGCCAGAAATTGCATTCAATGGATAAGTAGATGCTTCTAGTTTGATTCTGGTGCGTGTTAATGAGTGACCTTATCCCCAAGTCTACATTGGAGATGATCTGTTTCTTCTTCTAATTTCTTTATATGGCAAACCTCAAGATGAAGGAATAGGTTCCTGAAAAGCCATGGAATGCATACATTTCCAAACCAAAGAGCACAAGGGGCAAATGGGACTTAACATACAGGAAACACGATGAAAAGGCAGCGATGAACAAGGTATATCAGCAGGCCTTCTTTCCCCAATTCCCTGCCCCAGCCCTGGGGTACACCAGGAGGCATTCATTGGCTTTGGCCTCCACACCCTCTTCTATTTCAGCTCTCCTTCTGAGCCTCCAGAGCTCTCAATTTTGGCATCCTTCATGCTTCCTGTTCCTTTTTTCGGCTTCTGCTTGGACTTCTTCAACATGTGAACCTGTAGAGGCAGTGGAAAAAGAGATGAAAGCTTATATTAAATTGTTATATAACTGAGTCAGAGGTCGCAGAATCACTGGACTTTAGAGTTGGAAAGGACCTCAAAGATAATCCAATGTATCTGGAGGGAGAGGAACTGGGTATGAATCCTGGGCTCTGCCACTTACAACCTATGCAACCTCAGGCAATGCTTCTCACTTCACTAGAACTCAATTTCCTGATTTGTAAAATGAGGAGGTTGGACAAGATGACCTTTAAATCTAAGACTCTACAAATCCTCTCCCTCCACTGATGGGAAAATATAGCCAGAAAAGGGAAGGGAAGGGAAGGGAAGCAGCAGCTGGGTGGTGCAGTGGATAGAGTGGAATCAGGAGGACCTGAGTTCAAATCTGACCTCAGACACTTGACCCTTACTAGCTGTGTGACACTGGGCAAGTCACTTAACCCCACTGCCTAGCAAAAAACAAAAACAAAACAAACAAACAAACCAACCAGAAAAGGTGAGAGACTTGCTCAAGGTCACATAACAAATAAGATCAACATCTTGTTTTTTTTTCTTTAATTGCTGCTTTCTGTTTTTACACAACAGCATTTCTCCATAAACACTCCCCACCCCAAAATCTGCATCACAATAAAGAAAAGCAGATAATGAAAACCAAATGTAAATGATTACATCAGACAGTGCATATGACAGTGTATTCACATGCCCTGCCTGTGATGTCTCACATATCTACTGAAGGAGTACAGGGAGGAAAGGAAAGAGGGAGAGAGGGAAGGAAGGAGGGAGGGAGGGAAAGAAGGAAAGAAGGAAGGAAGGAAGGAAGAAAGGGAGGGAGGGAAGTTAGGAAGGAGGCGGAAAGGAGGGAAAGAAGGAAGGAGAGAAAGAGGGAGGGATAATGATAACCACTTATATCTCTAAAGCATTTAGAAGGAAGGAAGGGAAAGAGGAAAGAAGTAAATGCTTTACAAATATTATCTCATTTGATCCCCACAACAGCCCAGGGAGGTTGGTGCAATTGTTATCCCCATTTTGCTTGGATGACTCAGGAAGAGACAGATGACTCTGAGCAACCCTGCCTTACTTAAATCCAATTCACGTGCAAGTCATCACCCCATGATGTCATTGGTCCTCTTTGAAAACAAAGGATGAACAACAAAAGTTGAGGAAACTGAAGCAGATTAAGTGACTTGCCCAGGTAGTAATTGAGACCTGATTTGAACTTAGATCCCTCTGACTGCAAGACTAGCACTCTGTCTGCTGCTCCACCTAGCTATCTCTAAGACGTTCTTCACCCTTGGCTCCCTGGGACGGAGATTAAACATTAGGGTTAATTAGAGCTGACTAACTTGTAGTGATGTTTTCATTTCCATTTCCTAGTTATTATGCACACTGTTCTCCAGGTTCTTGTGCTGCTACCTTGAGACACATCACAAGACTGCTCCAGATGTGGCGGGGCTGCCATGCACCGAGATATTTATCTAATGTAACTGCTGCTAGATGAGGTCATCTGAAGCCTGATTTAGAAAATGGATGCTAGGAGTGGAAGCCACTTAAGAAAAGGTCACGCCTTTTGTCTTTCTAGCAAAAGAACAAAAAGTATGGCAGGCTTAACTTTTCTATAATTATTAGAAAATAACCTTAAAATCTTAACCAAATGGCACATTCACTAGAAGCCTTGGCTCTCATTACAAAGCCCTCTTAGTGGGAAGAAAAAACTTTTTCTTTTGTTCCTGAAAGAAAACTGCTAGGATTTTTCCCTTTGGAAATTTAAAAATTTTTATTGATGTCCTTTGTTTTTCTATCACTTTCATTTCTCAATATATTCCTCAGGCAGAGAGCCATCCCTTGTAACAAAGAATAAAAGAGAAAGAGAAAACTAAAAGCAATTCAGCAATATTAACCAATCCACCAACCCAGCCCAGCACAAACGCTCCACATTTGCTGTCTCTAGCCTTTGCAAGAAAGGGGCGGGGGAGGTGTGTGTGTGTGCTGGGGGAAGAGTGTGCAGAGAAATGCTGTTTCCCTAACTCATCCCACACCCTACTGTCTTAATCATCTTGGAACGTGGCTCCTTTCATGTCCTCCGACTAAGGGGCATATTAAGACCCCGTATCATCTTTTAGATAATGATAACCACTCTAAAGCATTTAACTTACATTGCACTTTTCCTCACAACCTTGTGGGATCACTAATCAAGGGTATAACCTGTAATTCTCATTTTTATGGCAAATGAAATAGGCTAACAATATGGAACGACTTGCCCAGTTACACAGCTAGTAAAACTCAGGGATGGAACTCAAACTGAGGTCCTGCGATCTTTTCCAATGCACCATTTCTGCCCAGGATCCCAACTCTCATGCCTGCCACAGGCACGCCCATCTGTCATTTATTGCTTCATATCTTACTTATTAACACAACTTGCTCCACTCCAAGCAAATTTATTTTCTTATTGTCCTCCCTGCAGATCTTTAACCTCTGGCGCTGGGCTTGTGCTCCTGCCTTTGTCCATCATGTTCTTTTTGCTTTTAATGGCAGTTAATTGCTCCTTTCAGGACACCTCACTTCAAGAAGGTCTGAGATCCTCAGATTTTCCCATTCTAATACTGGCTTTGCCATTGACTAGTAGGATGAACTCATGTAAATTACTTTGCCTATCTGTGTCTCAGTTTCATCACTAATAGAGTTAACAGTGGCTCTGTTTCCCTCAGAGGTTTGCTGTGGAGATGAAATGAACTGAAAAATGCTGAAAGCACATTGTAAGCTACTGTACGAGGATAATACAATCACATTAAATACATGATTGCCATGCTCTGAAAGTAAAGTGTACCTTTGGTCCAGCAGCAGAAATGATCATGTGGCCTGGGGACTGGATCCATGGCTCTCCATCAACCTGTACTGGAATTGGCTTGAGGAGGGTGACCCGGAAATAGGAGCCCTGGGCGATCCGGATCCCTGAGCGCAATCCCCCCTGCACTTGGCCCTGTGAGGGTGAAGGGACCTATTCAGTGCTTCCAACCCTTACAGGCCAAAGGCAAAATTCTGAACAGATTTATATGAAGTCAGAATAGCAAACACTCATAGAGATACACAAGGAATACACCACAAGGACTCAGAAGGACCTCTTCACTCCTCATTGCCCCTCCATATCCTACCCATCCTGTAAGACCCAGCTCACGTCCAAACCCCCTAAGCTGGATGTGAAAAGGGTGAGGAGAGCATTCCACAGAGGGAGAGAACAGAATAAGCAGAGGCGGAATTGGTCTTGTCAGCTACAGAGAGAATGGAGAGGAGCCTGGTCTAGATGGGAAGGACGGGGACAAAAGGGGGTGAGGTGGGAAAGATGCAGTAGATTGTCAGGGGCCTCAAATTGCAGGGTGACGATCTGGGATTTTATCCCACAGCTAATGAAGAGCCATGGGTGATTTGGAGACCAGAGATCCTTCCTGAACTCACCAGCTGCCATGTCATTGGATCTAGTCTTGTTTTTCAAATGACCCTCTTCCTTTCCTTTTCCCAAGGAATACTCCCTTCTCCTCACCCCACCCCCAATCTCTGAACCCCAGAGAAACCCAACTACAATCTGTGAACCCTGCCAGAGTAACATGAAGCTCTCAACAATAGTGAGGAAGTAAATACTGCTTTTCAGAGGACTTACCATGTGAACGACGCCCGTTACCCCAACCACCTCCAGCAAACCGTCATCAATCCGAGGCTTCTTAAACCGAGCATCGTTATCAGATCCCCAGAGATCAGCTCCAGAGCCCCAGCTGCACCAATGAAATCAAGGGCAATGGAAGTGAGGAAGATCTGGGACCATGTTTTAAGAGAGATAGGGGTGTGGCTATTTTGGAAAAACGAGGTTTCTTTTCGAATATTCCACAATCCAAACTACCCATTCACACTGACCTAATCGCTCAGGATTGATGAACCAACCTTCTCTGAGGACCAGTCTGGGCATCCTTTCTCCTTGAAGCCTTCCTTGATCTCCCCAGTTGGAAATGTGACCATCCCCTCTCTGCCATCACAGAATTTTTCAGGCCACTTGGCATTTTCTGGGTATCTCACCACATGCTAACTTGCATTAGGCTTATTTGTGTACGTGTTTCATCCCCCTCTCTAAAAGAGGGCTGAGAGCGTATGGGTGCTTTTCAATTCTGAGTTGCTAGTGCCCAGTACTCGGCAGCTCCCCAGTAAATCTTGGCTATATTCCACTGCGTTTGAGGCCGGCTGAGCACCAGCCGTTCGGATGCTTGTTACCTGGGGATGTTGATGAAGATCAGCCCCTCGATATTTGGCAATTCCACATCATGCCGGTCCACTTGAAGTCGGATGTCCTTGTGGAGGTTCCTGGTATGACTGATCTTCTGTAACCCGACTTTGACATACACCCCTTTGTTGTGGAATCTAAAGACAAAAAATCCTTACCTTCACAGGCGTCTCCAGCCCTTCCCTCATTACTAATGAGCTGAGTCAAAAGTGAGGGGACACAGGGCTGTCTGGCCCACTTCGTGTTATCTGGTTGTGTGGGAGCCTCCTTTTAAAGGAGAAGGGGAAGGGAAGGAGGAGGCAATAAGCATTTATTAAGCACCTATTATATGCTAGGCACTGTGCAAAGTGCTTTACAAATATTCTCTCATTTGATCCTCACAACAACCCTGGGAGGTGAGTGCAATTATTACCAAAATTCTACAGATAAGGAAACTGAGGCAGACAAGAGGTTATGTAACATGTCCAGGGTCACACGTGGGTCTGAGATGAGTCCCTTCCCAGGCCTTAGTATTCTCATCTGCAAAATCAGGGGGCTGAAGTCAACAATTTTTAAGGCCCCTCCCAGCTCTAAATCTATAATCCCAAGATCCTAGGGTGGCCAAGCCTAGTATAAATTTCACCTTGCCTTTGATCACAGGCTTTAGAAAGTCCATGATGACTACCTGCTATTAAATTTGCCTGGCTCCTCTTCTCTTGCATGGTGGAAATCCAAAGTCAATTCTGCATCAATTCCAAGTCCACAGTAATTGTTCATCTGTACGATCTGGGGGAGGGGAGGAAGCAAAGTCAAAATGGAAATGTCACCACGAGGAGCCATAAGTCTCTGGGCCATCTCTGCTGCTCCCAAGCTATTCCTTCTTTATCGGCCAGGACATAAAAGAAACTCCACAGAAGGAATGATTTTAGTCCCTTTGGGTAAGGCTGATGCTGGGTCCTGGAGGCCTCACCCCTCAGTGCAGAGGGAACAGATTAACTGGATTTGCCCGCCTGCCTATGCCCAGTCTATGAGGTGTGGGCTGCTACAGCATTCTTGGACCTAGCCTTCCTGCCTTGACCCCTCCCCCCACCCAGCAATCCTACTCATCTGTCCCACACAGCACTGCCAGTTTGGCCCTCCTATAGCACTTCTCCTTGCTTGGGCAACCGGGAATAGTGATGAGAGAGCTGGGACCTCATTATCTGTATGACCTTGACCAAGTTAATTTACTTCCCTGAACCTTAGTTTTCCCAATTCAATTTTTAAAATATTTATTAGGCTTTTATTATGTGCCAGGCACTGCACTAGTCCTAAATAAAAACTAAATGGAGGTAGTGGTGGTGGTGGTGAGAAATATAATGTGTACACAAGTAAATAAGAAAGTATATACAAAGTAATTACAAGGAAGAAAGAATGCTACTCATTGGAGAAAGGAAGTATATGAAATCAGGAAGGGCCTCATGTAGTTAGTGGCACCTTAGCTGGGCTCTGAAGGAAGTCAGAGAGACACAGGTAAGGAAGGAGTTTCCTTGGCGTGCCACTCCCAGGGATAACTAGGTGCCAAAAGCACCAAAGCAGGAAATGGAATTTTGGGTAGAGGGAACAGCTAGCAAGCCAGTCCTAGCCTAGAGAACACATGAGGAGGACCCATGGGAAATAAGACTGATAAGTTTGGTGAGAGCCACACTGTGAAGGGCTTTAAATACCCAGGCTGAAGACTTAGTAGTTTATCCTAGCAAACAATACCCAAATTTCTGGGTAACAGAATGATGGGGCAGGGCTATGCTTTTGGAATATCCATTAAGCAGCTGTAGGAGGATGGATTGGAGACCAACATTACAAAGGTCCAAGCAATAGATGACTAGGGTAGAGGCCTTGTTTACAAAGAGAAAGGGACATGAGAACTGTTCTGTTGGCAGGGAGGACAAGGCTTGGCAACTGCTTAGCTGTGGGCATTGAGGGACAGGATGAGTCAAGACAACAAACCCAGATCACCGGAAGGATGGTGATGCCTTCAGGAGAAATGGGGACGTCTGGTGGAGGGATGAGTTTGGGAGACAGGAGGAAATACAATGAGCTCTATTTGGAACATGAGAAGTTTGAGATTTCTACAGGGCATCCAGGAGGAGGTGCCCTCCCTAATAAAATATCCTTCACCAGTACGATGGGAAGAGTGATGCTTACAACTACCTGCCTCACAGAGTTGTTATGAGTGATGCATTTTGTGAATGATAAAACTATTACTTTTGGGGGGGGGGAGCAGGTAGGGGAGGGATAATACTATAGTTGAAAAAGGGGAGAAGGCATTAATATAATGCCTACTATGTGCCAGGCACTGCACTAAGCAAGCACTTAATAGTATCTCTTTTCAAAAAGCCATCATGACATTGTAATCTAGTGTTTGATAAACTCAAAGACTCCAGCAACTGGAACAAGAACTCACTATTTGAAAAAAAATGCTGGGAAAACTGGAAAACAGTTTGGCAGAAACTAGGCATAACCAACACGTTATACCATATATCAAGCGGAAAAAAAATCATACATGGTCTCAAATTGGGCTTGAATCGGTGCTCCAGCATTTATTGGCAATGTGACCACAGGCAAGTCACTACTTCACTTTTCTGGGTTTTTTTAAATTTATCTGCAAAATGAGGGACTGCAGTAAGTGAACTTTAAGGTCTCTAGATCAATGGTCCTATGATTTTCAAACGGTGCCGTCAGGACAAGCAGGTTTTCTAAGATGTTTCCTACTCAGGGGTTGGTACATAGCTCATTTTCAGTAAGGAAAAATCTTTTGGCTAACACCTCACCATGTTTTAATAGATAGAGGAACGTGAGAAAAAAGTTAAGGATCTGAATGCTGACTATTTACTACATGTAGACTCTGGGCAAATCACTCAATGATGGGGATGGGGGTGGAGGGCCTCAATTTCTTCATCTATAAAATAAAGGTGTTGGACTAGAGAATCTCTAAGGTTCCCTCCCAATTCGGTCTAACATCTTATATCTTGGGGTCTCTCCCTACTCTGTCATTCTATGGTCTAGGGTCTCTTCCAGCTCCAAATCCAGAATCTTGACGGGCAAATAATTATCCCATTATTTCAGGTGATGAAAAAAATTACTTTTGGGGGCTCAGGATCAACCACTCCGTTCTCAGTGTTCTCGACAACATCCTGAGCATCCAGAAGGATTGTCCATCGGTCCATGAGGACATCGTCAGCTTCATCCACGGATACCAGAATGGAGAATGGGTCCTCCCCGCTGTAGCCCGCTCCCCAGCGCAGCACTCTGCCCAAATCATTACCTGGGAAAACAAACCAGCACAGTCACTCATACTTCCTTAAAACATCCAAAGGAAATAACTATTACCCACCTTCAAAATCTCCCTCCTCATCTACTCTATTCTTTAGTTAAACCAGAGGACTCAGCAGGTCTTCCAACCTATTCAATACAGTTTCCCTTATCTTTGTTCGAGCCCTCCCCTGTACCTGGAATCACTCCCAATTCCCCATTTCTGTCCGCACAATTCCTATTCATCCACTGAGTTATGCTTCATTTTATTTTTTAAAATTCCATTTTATTTTATTCTCAGTTCTGAATTCTCTCCCTCCCTTCTCCCTTTCTCTCATCTATTGAGAAGGAAAGAAAAACAAAACCCGTTACAAAAGTATAAGTTATGCAAAAGAAATCCCCATATTAGCCATGTCTAAAAAAAAAAAGAAAGAAAGAAAGAAAAAGAAAGAAAGAGAAGGAAATATGTTTCAATCTGCACTCTAGGTCCATCACTTCTCTGTTTGGGGGTGGATAGTATGCATTGTCAGGAATCCTTTGTACTTGTAATTGGTTATTATGTTGCACCATACTCCCAAGTCTTTCAAAGCTGATTATCTTCACAATATTGCTGTTACCGTATAAACAGTTATCTTGGTTCTTCTCCCTTTACTTTGCATCAGTTCACACAAGTCTTCTCAGGTTTTTCTGAAACCCATCCTGAGGTATACTTCAAATAAGGGATACATTGCTATAGCGGTGAGGGACTGAGCCTTGGGAAACCTGAGTTTGAGTCCCGACCTTGCTGTGTAACCTCTGGCCAATCTAACGTCCCTTGACCTCAAGTTTCCTCCTCTGTAAATTGAAAGGGTAGGGCTACACGACTCTAAGGTCCCTTCCAGCTCTGAGAGCTTGTTATTTCATCAGAGAAGCCTTCATTGATCGTCCCAGCTGTACATACTCTCTTCATCATCAGAGATCTCCTTTCACCTTCTGCCTCTCTTGTGTTCCTAGCATATGTCTTACTCCTCCCCCTTTTCCTACTGCACTGCGAAGACGCCTTGATGACTATGACTATGTCTTCTCCAGCAGCCATCCATCACCATAGTCTAGGATGGTGCTTGCAAAGAACAGGCACCCAAAAAATGTCTGCTGAGCAAATGAACACGTAGCCACCAAAGGTGTGACTACCATAGTACTGGGAAACGCCTTTACGGCTGTTCATGTCTTTTTTGTTGTTATTGTTGTTGTTCAGTCATTTCAGTTGTATCTAACTCTTCATGACCCCACGTGGGGTTTTCTTGGCACAGATACTGGTGTGGTTTGCCATTTCCTTCTATAGCTCATTTTATAGATGAGGAAACTGAGGCAAACAGGGTGAAGGGACTTGCCCAGGATCACACAGCTAGTAAGTGTCTATGGACAGATCTGAACTCAGACCAGATGCTCTATCATCTGTGCCACCTGGATGCCCTGTTAGTACCGAGAACTTTCTTACAGCAGCAACTTCATTCCATTGGCCCTAGGCCTTGATGGGGAGAGGGTAGATACTGGAGCTGTGGTTTCACAGGTCTTGGTACACCCAGATGAGGACATTCCTTCTGCTTAAGAGCTTAAGTGACTTTCCTATCTTTATCCAGTAGATTACACTGCCCCTCGAAGACCTCGATGCCTTCTTCTTTTTGGGGGGGGAGGGGCCTAAGCAACTGGGGCTAAATGACTTGCCCAAGGTCACACAGCTAGTTAGTGTCAAGTATCTGAGGCCAAATTTGAACTCAGGTCCTCTTGACTCCAGGGTCAGTGCTCTATCCACTGTGCCACCGAGCTGTCCCGTTGACTCTTAAAATACAAATACTTCTATGGAGGAAAGGCATAATCACAATTTAAGCTCTTCTCAGTTAGCAATACCTCTGTACCTCTGTGTGAATGAGCTTTCATTCCTTCTTGAGAACAAGTCTGATGGGAAGAGATTAGAGAGGATAACTGCTCCTGAGGACTGGAAAGGGCTGCCCTTAAACAGAGGGCTGAATCCCTAGAATCCTTTAAATCACTACCCAGGTGTGACCCCTACAGGAGTCCTTACCAGCACATCTTCTGCAAGGGTGGGGAACCTGCAACCTCGATGCCACATGTGGCCCTCTAGGTCTTCAAGTGCAGCCCTTTGACTGAATCCAAACTTCATAGAACAAATCCCCTTAATAAAAGGATTTGTTCTGCTATGCCCAAAGGGCTGTAAAAATATGCATATCCTTTGACCCAGAAATACTACTTCTAGGTCTGTATCCCAGAGAGATCATACAAATGGGAAAAGGACCCACATGTACAAAAATATTTATAGCAGCTCTTTCTGTGGTGGCAAAGAATTAGAATTTACGGGGATGCCCATCAACTGGGGAATGGCTGAATAAGTTGTGGTATATGAATGTAATGGAATACTACTGTGCTATAAGAAATGATGAGCAGGCTGACTTCAGAAAAACCTGGAAAGACTTGTATGGTCTGATGCTGAGTGAAGTGAGCAGAACCAAAACTGCCACGTTGGGTGATGACTAACTCTGATGATAGAGTTAGCTCTTCTCAGCAATGCAAAGATCTAAGACATCTCCAAAAGCTTCATGATGGAAAATGCTATCAACATCCAGAGAAAGAACTATGGGGTTTGAATGCAGATTGAAGCATACTATTTGCTCCTTTTTTTCCCCTCTGTTTTGTTTTGTTTCTTCTTTCTTGAGGTTCCTCCGGTTGATTCTAATTCTTCTTACAACACGACTAATGTGAAAATGTGTTTAACAGGAATGTTTATGTAGAGCCTATATCAGATTTCATGCTGTCTTGAGGAGGGAGGCGGGAGGGGTGGGAGCGAAAATTGAAAACTCAAAAGCTTATGGAAGTGAATGCTGAAAACTAAAACTAAATTAATTAATTAAAAAAATAAAAGGATTTGTTCTCTAAAACTTGGACTCAGTCAAAATGACCTCGAGGCCACAGGTTCCCCATCTCTGTAAGGGTTCTAGCTCTCTGTCTCTTGAATAAGACGATGTAAGGTCATATTCTGATTAGAGATATATGGAAAACACTTGGTAAACCTTAAAGTACTAAAAACATGTGAGTTACTATTTTTCTTTCAATTGCTAGTTCTCATTTTCACTATGAGTCATCAGTGAGGCAGCAGAAAGAATTTGGGACTTCCTAAAATTCAAGAGAGTTGGATTTGAATCTAAGCTGACAGTAACTGTAAACTAGGTTATTTCCCCTTCTCTGAGCCTCAGATTTCTCACCTATAAAATGAGGAAAATACAACTTATATTCCCTACCTCACAGAGCTGTTGTACACAAAGCATTTTATAAACCTTGAGGCACTATAGAAACCAGGAGTGATGTGAATATTTTGACATAGGCTGTCCTCTCAGTGCCCCTGTCTGCTGTTGCTTATCATGAAATGATTCTCTCTCCCTCTCCCCCAGGGTGTCACCCTTTCCCTCCCTTAACTCCTCATATCCAGGGTCTGATTGTGCTCACCTGTACCCAGAGGTAGGATGGCCACAGAAGGCTCTTGGCATACCAGTTTGTGCCGGATCTCTTCCAGGGCTCCCAGCACCCAGCCCACGGTGCCGTCCCCACCACACACCAGGACCCGGAAGCAGGGGACTTGGGAGAACATGTGAAACCTTATTAGAGAAAGAAAAAAAGCATCTCACTTACTCTGGGGCTCTAAGGAAGCATAAAATTCATTCCTAATAAATTTTCACTCCTAAATCACCAACATGAGCAGAAACTTCTTCATTCAAACACAGATCTAATGTCACTTTTTAATTACTTAGAGAGATTTACATAAGAAACCAAGGAAATGGCCAAGTATGATGCCTGGAGGGAAATTCTGCATTCTAGGTAACAGCATGGTCTAGACAAGAGAGGTGGCTGGAAATCAGAGAGCCTGGATTCAGGACCTGGATGTCACCAAGTCACCAAGTGACCTGAATCAAGTCATGGCGTCAGAGTATCTTAGCACTAGAAAGGACCTTCATGAAGTCAGTTCCCTTCTGAGCCTTCTTTTCTTCATAATAGCTAACAATAATAATAAATAACTAGCATTTATACAATGCTTTAGAGTTTGCAAAGTGCTCTACATATGTGATTTCATTTGATCCTCACAATGACCTGGGAAGTAGGTGCTATTACGACCATACTCATTTTACAGGTGAGGAAACTGAGGAAAATAAAAAGAAAAGGTTAAGTGCCTTGCCCAGGGTCACCCTGCTCTTAAGCGTCAGAGGATACAAACTTAGGTGGTACTGATGCAAGTTCAGCATTTGTGTAAATGGGGGATTACACAAATGGGGGATAAACTCTGCCCCTGCCTGAGATCTGGTGAAATATTGGATGGGAGAGCACCCTGGAAGGCTAAGAGTGCCGTGACAATGGGAGGAACTGTTCTGATCACAGCTCATACACCTACGCTTTAGAGGGACACAGTCTCAGTAGGAAAAAACCCGGGAGGAGAGAGCAGGATGTCTTCTGTTTGGTTCAAGAGGTTTTTGTTTTGTTTTGTTGTTCAGTTCCTAGGCGCCCAGGAGACAAGATCACGTGACCCTGGCCTCTCTGGGCAGAAATCCGAATATTTTATTCTGTCCTTAAAAGTTCAGTCTTGAATGATAAACAAGGGCTTTCCATTCTCTTACATTGGCAGGAAGAGCTTGTCAGAAGAATTACTGACCCAAAAAAACCCCTTAAGTGTGTTTACAGCTTTCTTCTCTTTCTGGCCTGTTCCCTCTGCCATCCATTAGGGCCTCTGAGCAACACCTGACACCACGAAGCTCCTCGCCCAGGGGCTAGTCAGGCTTGTGATGGGGTGAGGTGTCTGTGTACAGAGCTGGCCACCTGCTGGGGCCAAGCACACAGGTCTGAGTCCTGACTACGCGGGCTGTGGCATTCTGGCCCATGAGGATCAGAAGTCCACTGACGTGGCTTTGAACCTCCTGGCTCAGTCACTTACCAGCTGCACAAACCAAGGCAAATAACTTTCTTTTCTGGTTCTCGGCTAGGAGATTGGACTAGATGATCTGAAAAATCCCTTCCAGCTCTAAGTACATGGCTAAGACCCTAAGAAGCTTGTGGAGCTCTCCAGTAGGGGCCTCGCTTGGCACACACTGATTATCGTTCCTGAAGACATAGATTAGACATCCTTCTCGTGCATAAAGCATCATCTCTCCCTAGCTCCACTCCCATGCCCCCATCACTCAAGGACAGCAACCTCAGACCTGAGAGGAGGAATCACTCACTCCCTCTTGGACTTTCGCAGTACACGCCAACCCCAGACAGCCAAAGGGGCGGTGGGGTTGTTGGGAGTGGTGGTGGTGGTGGTGGTCCTCCCTGCCATCCTGGAGCTTCCAGGCCTGTTTCCCTCACAAGACTTGGACCCAGATGTATCTAGTATCAATGAGTCATGTATCACATCTCACAAAGAACAGCCCTTTTTATTCGCCTCCCAATGAAAGGAGGCTAACGTCTTAGCGTGTATGTTTATTATGCTCATCCTTACCTGTGTCTCCCTCTGCCCTCCACCCCAATACTTTGCCTTGATAATTTAGTGGTACCTAACCCTTAGGAATTGTGTATGAGACATCATGACGGCTACTGTCCTCCACCTCCCCTCTTTTTTAGGCCAGGGCCCAATATCGGGACAGATCCTGAGGGTAGCAATAAGGATACTGGTTAGATCAAGTCAACCCAAAGACCTCTGTTCCTGAGGTCTAATTTGTACCTATTGATACTTGCTATCTAAAGTCAAATAAAGGGGACCAAACAGATTCCTGGGAAGGGGGAAGAGGGGTTGGCCCATTGAATGTAGATAAAAAAGCATTAGGCCTGAATTCATGCCACATCTAGTAACTGGGAGGGGAGATGCTTGCCATTTTAAAAACTATGGGAATAATGGTCAAAGATATCATAAACAGAATTCAAATAACTCCACCCTTCCTCCCCTATCAAAAACAAAACAAAACTCTTCTCTCCCAGTATTTTTTGTAATGTGTATGAAGTTATGAACAACCTTATGAAAGGCTAATCACTAATAAGAGAAATGCATATCCAAACAATTCTAGTGTTTAATATCATACCCAGCAAATTTGCAAAGGTGACAAAAGATGGGAAAAGTCCATGCTGGGGGTGGCGGTGGGGAGCTTTGAGCAGAGACAAGAACAATGCACCATTGCTAAGTCAAAGCTGATAGATTGATGCTAAGAAAGTGACTGTCATTTTCATACCCATACTCAAAGTGTTTTTTAGCTCTATAAACTCAGCCAGATTTTGTGCTCCCCTTTGAGAAGTCACCACCACACTAGGGGATGTACAGAGAATGTACATACTTTATACCCCAACATTCAGGGAGGTGGGCACACCTCCAGGCACAGGGTTTGGTATTTTGCGTCTCTACGTAAGGTTTGTTTTTGTCAAGTAAAGTTTAGTTGTTGGTGTTTTAAAAAACAAATTTTAGTTTCTTTAGTAAGTATGATTTTAAAAAATAAAGTCCCTTATGATTCAATAGTATTCAATAAATAGTCACTTTAAAAAATAAAATAAAATTCCCTGGGTACGCCTCCTGATATTCATGCCTATTGAAAAATTGTTTTGAATTCTCTACTTTTAAATAAATCTTGACATAGATCTTACCCTCCAATCATTAGTATATTTATACTTTTTCACCAACAATATAATTTCTTATCAGTGGACACTCAGTGTCCTAAGAAGCCAAGAGACACTATGCTCGGCTGTTGATGGAAAAGACAGGGGCTTGGTGGGAATCTCACAGATGCCATGACCAGACCTAGCTATGCCAGCAAAGCTAGACAGAAGAGCCTCATACTTCAGGGGTCTTAAATCCATTCAGTATTGTTTCTACCCCAGACTCTTAGGGAGGGAATCCAGTTCTCCGTCCAGGACTGGGCACATAACAAGGGCTCAATAAATAAATACTGGTTGCATGCACTGGATAAAGGGTGTGTGTGTAGGTTCAAAAATGACTATTTGGAGAACAACACAGCAAGTATAATGTCTGAAATACTTAAGAGTAAGGATTGAAAATAAACTCCATGAATGAAGGAATATATGATACTAATATATATAGATACAGTTAGAGAGAAAGAGAGAGAAAGAGAGAGAGAGAGAGAGAGAGAGAGAGAGTGTAACATCTAATATTTTTATATCCATTACTATGTTCTAGGCTAAACACTTTACAATTATTATCTCATTTGATTGTCACAACAGCCCTGGGAGTTAGGTGTTATTGTAATCCCCATTTTACAGATAAGGAAACTGAGGCAAACAGAAATTAAGTCACCTGCTCCAAGTCTTAGCTAATAAATATCGAAGGGCAGATTTGAACTCAAGCCCACCTGACTCCAGGCCCATCCTGCACCACCTAGCTGCCTTGATTAATTAGTTAATTAATTAATGGAAAAGCATTTATAAGTGCTTACTATGTGCTTTGAGGGCAAGGACTGTCATTTTAAAAAACTTCTTATCTCTGGAGCCTAACCCACAGGGCCTTTGCATGTAGAAGGCACTTAACAAATATTTAATTGAATTGAACTGAATTAAATTGAGTACCCAGAGAGTAGAGCTTGAGAAAATAGCTGATATTCACATATTGCCCTAGGGTTTGGCACCCTTACATATATTGTTTGGGCCTGACCACAACACTAAGTTAGGAATGTTAAGTGTTATTATGCCCATTTAAAAGTTGATAAAACTGAGGCTCAGCAGTTAAATGAGTGGCCTATAGTCACACAGCTACTAAGATGAACAGTGACAATTTAGACCCACGTTTCTCCTAAGTCCAGTGCCCTTTCAACTGTATCCTTATAACTAGCATTTCTATATCTCTTTAAGATTTGCAAAGTGCTTCATAAATATTACCTCATTTGTCCATCACAACAACCCTGGGAAGTTGATGTTATTATCATCATCTGATTTTACAGATGTGGAAACTGAGTCAAGTAGAAGTTAAGTGACTTACCCAGGGTCACACAGACAGTAAACGTCTGAGGCTGGATTTTAACTCACCAGGCCTGGTGCTCTACTGTGCTGCCTCTGAGTAAAAGCCTGAGCACTTGGAGAATCAGGACTGAATCCTTGGAGATGGTCTACTAAGGGAGGTCTTCTAAACATGGATCCTGACATTAGTTTCAATACCTTTCTACCAGCAAAGAATAATGAGGCATTGAAATGTTAGGAGAGTAAGCCCTGCACCAGGAGTCAGGAGATCTGGGTTCAAATTCCATCTGCCTGTATCACCTTGGGCAAGTCATTGTCCCTTCTCTGGATCACGATTTTCTAAGCCATAAAATGAGGGAACTGAACTAGATGGTCTCTGCAATCCCTCCCCAACCTAACAATTTACAGGTCTTCATGGTACTGAACACTTCAACACTGTTTACTGCCCTCATCCCAAGGGTGGGCTACAAAAAGGCCAGCTGTGCTGTGTGTGTGTTTCCTGGAGGGAAATTCAAGGTTGGAGGAATCCAAACTGTTCTGTTTACTAACGGTCACCAATGGTTACTGCCCTCCCACCCCATCACCAAGGCCAAGGTTGTTCCCCGAACACTTAGCTTGCTTGTCCGAGGTAGAACTTACTGGTGGCATGGGAGATGGGAGCAGGGAGAGGGGGTGTGGCAAAATCAATGAAATCTCTCCAGATGCTACTTACAGCTCAGTGGCAACCTACCCAGGGAAAGGGCCTCCATTGGTGAGCTCAAAGACCTGGTGAGGATTCAGCAGTTTCCTGAAGCTACAGAGCAGGTCTCGGCCTTTCAGCCCTCCACTTTTCGGGTTCACAAACACAAGGAGTGGGCAGCAGTCTGGGGGCAGCTTCGTGTGCTGACAAATACAGAAAGGCCGGGTTAGGAAAACAGCAACGTTGAGAGCCACGGGCAAGTGAGCTGACTTCAGTGGGATTCCCATCCGTTCCATCCAACTGAACTCAGTTTGTCTTTCCTGAGCCAACCCATCTGGATGACCCCTTTACAGATGGGAAACCCGTTAGTGGCAGAAAGAGGACTCAACTAGAAAGAGGTTTTCTAACTTCAATGCTCCCTCCATTGTCATGCTGTTCCTATAGCCCTCGGTGAGTGGGACCCCAGGAGGCTCAGGTGAGGCCCAGTGCTATTCTCCCAAGTGGCAAGAGTGTAACCCGGGGGTCAGATCAGCCCAAGACATCAACCGTGATCACAGAGCTGCTTCTTACCCACCCCTCTTCTCAACTCCCTCTCATGTGTTATCTTCTCTCATGAGAATGTAAGCCCCTTGAAAGGTAGGGAGAATCTCTTTTTTGCTTAACATGGCGCCTGGCATATAGTAAGGTTTAATAAATCAATGCTTGTTGACCTGACTTGCTCACTCCAAACACTCATTCCCTTCTATCCAAATACTATCTACCCCAGCTCAAACAATTATCTCTCTAGCCCGGCCCTAAACATCATCCCCCCTACCCTGAGTTACTGTTTGCCTCTCAGTTCCCACTGAGGCAGCTGATGGTGCAGTGAATAGGGCACCGGGCCTGGAGTCAAACGCAGACTCAGACACTCCCTAGCTGTGTGACCCTGAGTAATTCACTTAACCTGTTTGTCTCAGTTTCCTCAACTGTACAATAGGGATAATAATAGCACCTACCTTGCAGGGTTATTGTGGGGATCAAATGAGATAATATTTGTAAAAAGTGCTTAGTACAATGCCTGGCATATAGTAGGCATCATATTAATGCTTATTCCCTCTCCCCCATCTAAAAAATAAGGAGGTTATACTAGATGAGCTCAGCTCTATGCTTATGCCCTCTCAATCTCAAACAGCCTTATTTTATGAGCAGAAAGTATAAGTGTAGGCTTTGACTTGATGTGAGCTTGGACAAATCATACCACTCCCTGGGCATGATATTGTCCTCTTTAAAAAGTGGATATTGGAATACAAGATCACTAAAGTTTCTTTAAGCTCTATTTTATATAATCTATCATGATTCTCAAAATTATATTATTAAATTAGATAAATTAAATTTGGGAGCAACACCAGAAGTAGAAGTGGGAAGGTCCCTTGGCTGGGAGTGAGGGCACCCGGGTTCTGGTCAGCTTGGAGCTAAGCTGTGATGTGACCTCAGGTGAATCACTTCCCGTCTCCAGGCTTCCATTTCCTCCCACATAATACGAAGGCTTGGTACCATCTCCAGGCTTCCATTTTCCCCTACGTAAAATGAAGAGCCATTGTGAAGGGCGGTGAAACAGATACGAATGTTTGTGGACAGGCTGCCCAGATCTCGAGTGCCAATACCACCTCAGAAAGCCAGACTTGCCCATTCATCTCAGCAGTGATGGATGGGTTTTACCTGAGGCTTTAGCCAATGTCAGACCACCCCACCTTGGGAAATCCTCAAATGTGACTCCTGCCATGTAAGGGTTCCTTCATTCAAATCTCAGGACACTTTGACCTAGGACTGAGCAATTATCTGCCCATTAGACTGTCTTTCGCCTTTCTTTGCATCCCCAGAGCTTAGCATAGTACCCGGCACATAATCAGCACACAGACTGAGTGACCTGTGGTAGGGCTGCAAATATTAGGATCCCCTTTTTAAAGGTGAGGAGAGTAAGACCCAGAGAGCACACTGAGTGATCAATATCAGCATATGTAAATGAAAAACCCTGGATTTGGACTCTAAGGACCAGGTTTTAAATCTTGGTTCTGCATCTTCCTACCTATGTAATGTTGGCCAGGGCATGTCACCTCTCTGGAACTCAGATTCCTCATCTATAAAGTGATGAGGTTGGACTATATGACCTCTAGCTAGCTTTCCAGAACCAAGACTGTTCTACAATGTACACTTCTCACAATAACCCTAAAGGAAGGGTTAGACACACTACCATTTCACAACTGCTCCTATATGGTAGTACAAGTGTGATCATCCTCATCTCACAGAGAAGGAAACTGAGGATCATGGGAGGGAAGTAAATTGTCTAAGGTCACACACTTAGAAAATGGCAAAATAAAAACTGGAACCCAGGTTGCCTGACATCAAATCCGGCACTCTTTCCTTTATACCATAATGCTGCTCCCATTAGGACATCTTGGAGAAATCTCAGAGTGTGGGATGGCTTCGGTTTACTCAGAGTGAAGAAACCATTGGGCTCCATATAAACAAAGCCTTCTATACCCCCATGTCTCTAATGACTCCACCAAACTGGAACTGGCTAGACCACCTTGATGGTATCAGAGAAAAGACTCTGCTCTTCCCTGACCAGTAACTCTTCTCTTCTGGCCACCCTGTACTCGAACCTGAGGCCAGACTAACTAGGTCAAGGTAAGACAGTGTTAGAGTAGACAGGCAGCAGCCTGAGAGTTAGGACACTTGGGTTCTATCTCATTCAAAAGAGCTGAGGTGAGCAGGTTGACCTTTTGTGAATCATGTCAATTCTCTGTTTTCTCTTCCAAAAAATGTAGAGGATGAATCTTATCCTTCCTCCCTCCCTCCCAATGTCGTGGTGAGGAAAGGGTTTCATAAAGCTCAAAGTGTTAGAGAAATGATTATTGTTATTGAATTTGAGATTAAGCAAGATTCTAACCCCAAAGCCCAAATTACCTGGACCTAGTGTCTGATTTTAATTCTTTAGAAAGGAAAATAATAGGAAAGCAAACTCTTATTAGGGACTTAGAAGAGCAATTTCTAGGATGCATCATGGGCTCAATTCACATCCAGCCCAATCTCTCTTAAACTCTTCCCTATCTGTAATTCTGAGAAGTAAAAATTGGTGTTCAGAATGACAGCCCCTTGACCCTGGAATCTTCAAGGAAAAAGCATATCACATACATTAAATTTATATATCCTAGAAAAAAATAATTTTAACAGAATCTCTGCAGGAAGGGATTCATTGGACCATCTAGAATTGCCCTTAAATGGATGATGAACAAATCCTTTTAGGATGTCGCAACAAATGTTAGCCAGTCTCTGCTTGGATACTTCCAGTGACAGGGAACTCATTACTTACTCAAGCAAACCCTTTTGTCCACCCCAATTCAACTCAATAAACATTTAATAAAATGTCTATTATGTGCAAATTGATATGCTGGATTCTGGGGATAAAGACGTGAAATATGACACACAGCCTCTGCCCCCAAAAGAGCTTGCAACCTACCATGGGAATGAGATGTTACAGAAATAGAAAAATTGGAGATATGGAATACAGGTCAGAAAATGCCTCTCATAGGAGATGGGATGAAGCCCGTAGGAGAGGTCAAAAAGAGAAGTCTGAGAGTCTCAAGGGCAAATGGCTGGATGACTCTGATTGTTTGGAAGCTTTTTTTTTTTTCTTTCTTTTTTAAACAAGAAGTTGAAGTAGAAACTCCAGCCATCCTGCCTTCAGGAGAAACAGCCCTCACATAAGACAGATTTGGATCTAATTACCATGGTAATGTGGAATTACAGACCCTTAGAGGTCAACGAAGGTCAAAACTGGAAGAGACATTTAGTGTGATCCCCTCCTGAGTAGAAGTTCTCTCTACAACATGCCCAGCACACATCGTCTAGTCTCTAGCCAAAGTCTCGTCCCAAGAGACGGGGAATCCGCGACCTGCTGATGTCGCTCATTTCACCCTGGGACAGCTGTGTTGGAAAGTTTTCCTTACACTAACCAATCATCAAGCTGCTATTCTCCACCCCCCTCTACTGCTCCCTCATCCTCTGCATACAAGTAGAACTAACCTACTCTGTCTTCATTTTTGTGAAGACACCTATCATGTCTTTCAAACCCCAAATCTCCTCTTCTTCAGACTAAGCATTCCTAGTCACTTCAACCAGTCCTGATAGAGCTTGGTCTCTAGTCCCCTTCCAATCCTTGCCACCCTCCTATGGATGCGCTCTAATCGATCAATGTCCTGTGATGTTGGGAACTAGGTACAGTATTCTGGATGTGATTGGGCAAGGACAGTACAATATGACTATTTGGTCTCTATTTCTATTAATGCAACCTCAAATGCATTGGCTTTCTTGACTATTGACTCATCCTGAGTTTGCAGTCCACTAAGATTTCCAGATCTTCTTCACATGAACTGATGTAGTCACATCTCCCCATGATATTTTTTAAAAATCTTAAGTTTAAGACTTTGTATTTATCTGTCTAAACTTCATCTTATTTGCTTCAGACTATCATTCTAGCCTATCCAGATATTTTTAGATACTGATTCTCTGTCAACCATCATAGATTTATGTCATCTATTAATATGGTTAGTATTGCAAGCATGCCATCCATCTATGGCTTCATCCAAGTTGATGATTAAAGCAGTGAACAGCAGAAAGAAAGACAGGTCCTGAGGGCACTCTACTGTAAGCCTCCTCTCCAGGGTGACACTGATCCATGCATCAGTATATCTCATTTATTTGGTATCTCCAGAGAGCAATGAGTTCTGCATGACTGAATTTTTCATTATGCCTCAAAATGACAAAAAATTTTGATTTTAAACTTTTTGGGTTACAGAGTATGTCATGGTGGGCCAAAGAAAGAAAGAAAGAAAGAAAGAAAAAGCTGTATTCCTAAAATGAGACATATTTCAAAGGAATAAAATCTATATTGGCACACACTGAACAATAACATTGACTTTTAGGTTGCACTCAGATTTTTATAAGCTAATTTTGTGGGGAGGAACACAGCCTTAATGGGTTTAATGGGAATTCAACCTTTGCTCTATCATTCAGAGTCACTATTAAGAGCATCTATTACTTCAAGGCTCATATCAGGTACCACCTTCTTCAGGAACCTTTCCCTAGCTCCCCTCCTCCACCCCACCAGCTAATTTCTTTCTCCTTCCTCAAAATGACCTTGTATTATCCTAAATGCATATGC